GCCCTCGCTGGACGCGCCTACTCCTCGGCTGGGCAAGCGGCCTCAGCGCTCCATTCAATGGTGGTCCTCCAGGTCTTCCAGGCCAAACTGGACCAGAACCAGCGACGCTTAGGGAGCTGAGAAGCGCTATGGACCTGGCTTTGCAAGCCACCAAAGCGACGGCGTTCCATGGCCAGTCTGGTGGTGCTCAAGCGCCACTTATGGCTGACCTTGACGGAAATCAAGGACGCTAACAAGGTTCCCTTCCTTGATGCTCCGGTCTCCCCCACCGGTCTGTTCGGGCCAGCAGTCGAAGGCTTCGCTGAGCGTTTCACGGAGGCACAAAAGTCGTCCCAGGTCTGAGCCTCGACAACGTTCCCACTCGGCCAAACGCTACCTGTTTCCAAAGCGCCAGGGACCCCAGCCCAAGATAACGCTGGACCCTGCGCCTCAGGCATCGTCCTGATCTACAGGACAGAAAGAGGAGGGGTCCAAGTCTTGCTGCAGCCGGATCACCCCCCAAGCTGCTTCTCTTAAGCTGCCAATCACCCCGTCCAGTTCCGTGTGCAGTCGGCAATGTGTTTGCTGCAAACTCTGGGCCCGTTCAAGCGCCCAAGCGGCGATCTGCTGTTATAGTGGACAGATTAAAACACAAACATTTTCAAAAAGTGAGCAGATTTCCTCTTCCATTTCTCACGAGTACTGTGTTCCTTTGCAGCGACCAGGCACTCGAACCAATCCGACCCCTGCCTTCCCGGGCCGAGGCATGGCAAGCCATCCCCGGAGTGTCACAGTGGGTTCTTGGGATAATAAAGCGAGGCTATTCACTTCAATTCGCTCGAAGACCCCCACGTTTCAGTGGGGTGGTCCCCACTTTGGTTCAGAGCAAAGACGCACACATTCCTGCGCACTGAAATTAAAAATCTGCTGGCAAAGGGAGCCATAAAGACGGTTCCTCCAGCTCAGAGCGAGTTAGGCTCCTACAGCCGTTACTTCCTCGTCCCCAAGAAGGATGGCGGCCTGCGGCCCACCCTCGATCTCAGACGCCTCATGAAACTGCCATTCAGGATGACTACATTGAAGCAGATCATCTCGCAAATCCGCCCAGATGACTGGGTCTTTTCTTTTGGACTTGAAAGATGCCTACTTTCACATCCAGATAGCCCCCCACCACAAGCGATTCTTGAGATTCGCCTTCGAGGGAGTGGCTTATCAATACACGGTCCTTTTCTTTGGACTATCCCTGGCACTTTCACGAAGTGCATGGATGTGGCTCTTTCCCCTCTGAGGCAGAAGGGAATCCGCATTCTCAATTACCTCGACGACTGGCTCGTTCTGGCCAGTCGGAGGCGGAGTCACTTAGAGTGCCTGGGGCTCAGGGTCAATTTTGCCAAGAGTGCACTGTCCCACAGCCAACGAGTATCATTCCTGGGAATAGTGTTTGACTCAACCCAAATGAGAACGGTGGTCACGACAGAGCGTGCTCTGGTCATACAGCAGCTTGCGACTTCCATCAAGGCCGGTGCCTCTCGCCCCCTCAAGGTGTTTCAAAAGATGCTGGGCCTTATGGCCGCAGCATCTCCAGTGCTACAGTTGGGCCTGCTTTGTATGCGTCCCCTTCAGTACTGGCTGAAACCGCAGGTTCCATCCCATGCGTGGCGTCACAGACGTGTGTAACAGCCCTGACCCCTTGGAAGAATGCTTAGTGGATGGATTTCTGGTCCGCTCAGACAGCATAACTCTGGTGGCCTACATAAATCGCCAGGTAGGGCTTTCCTCGAGGCGCCTCTTTGTGCTGGTAGAGCGCCTCCTGGAATGGGCTCAGCCTAACCTGCGCTCGCTGAGAGCAGCGCACGTTCCAGGCAAACTGAACCAAGTAGCGGACATGTTGTCACGAAGCAAAGACCCCTCAGAAGAATGGATGCATCATCTGCAGACGGTCCAAAAAATTTGGGAGATCTTTGGCAAGGCGGAAGTGGACCTTCGCCTCAAAAGTCAACTCTCATTGTCCAATTTATTATTCCAAGGACAAGCTCCCCATCCATGCTCAAGGTCTATGTAGCAGCTATAACGGCTTCTCATGCCCCTATAGCAGGCCAGTCGGTGGGCAGAAACAACTTTGTTGTACGTTTTCTGAGGGGGGCTAGGAGGCTGAATCCGCCCCGTCCCCTCACTGTCCCTACTTGGGACCTGCCCACTGTTCTGAGGGTCCTGAAGGGTCCTCCCTTTGAGCCGCTGCAGTCTGTTGACCTTCTGTCCCTGTCGTTAAAAAACCGCTCTGCTGCTAGCATTAGCATCGGTCAAACGAATGGCCTGGCCTGGCGACTCTAAGGTCATTCCTGAAACCGAGGCATGGTTATATACCTAAGGTGCTCTCTACTCCATTCAGGGCACAGGTCATTACACTCTCTGTGCTTCCTCCATCAGAAGAGGACCAGTAGTTGAATTTACTCTGCCCCGTCAGGGCGCTGAAAGTTTACATAGAGCGTTCCACCCCGTTTAGGCAGTCTGAACAGCTCTTTGTTTGCTTTGGTGGCCACGCTAAAGGGCATCCGGTCACGAAGCAGAGAATTTCTAACTGGATAGTTGACGCTATTATGCTAGCCTACTCTTCCTTGGGCCTGCAATGCCCTATTGGAGTACGAGCCCATTCAACTAGAGGCGTTGCCTCTTCTTGCGCATGGTCTAGTGGCGTGTCCATTGCGTAAATTTGTGCAGCGGCTGGTTGGGCCTCGCCGTCCACATTTGCTAGGTTTTATAACCTGGACGTCCCTGCCTTGCAGGCTAGGGTTCTTTCTGCATAACTGCCACGCACCTGCTTACGCAGTACAGCTCTGAGCAGGAGTTTGGCCGTAACATGCTCAAACCCATCAGAGGACTTACTCGCTCTCGGCCCTCATGGGTGTGCAAGTCTTCTGGAACGATCACTCAGGCCGGGTGTGACCTCTGTGAGCTTAGCCCATTCGCCTTGGGAGGTGTTTACTATTCTTGTCCCCTTGGGCCCTGAGGTGCCTAGGGCAAGGTTACACATGTAGTCGTTCCTCTGCCATAAGCACGGCGTGATTGTACTGGTTCCCATAGCGTCTTAGCAGATGCAGTACAAGTGAAGTATCGATAGGGAATGTACTCGGTTACAAATGTAACCTCGGTTCCCTGAGATATGGGAACGAGTACTGTGTTGCTAGCCATGCTATGCAGCTGCACGGCTCAGTCGTCGCTTCAGTCGAAGTAACCTGAATCTTATGGCGAAGTGCCCGCTTATATAGCCAGATGGCCCCGCCTATTCTGGCAGGCTTTGTGGCCATAGGTTCGTGCAGCACCGCTGCCGAGCCATTGGTTCGTTTTTAAAGTGTACTGCACGAACCAATGGCCGTGCAGTTACACTGCGTTATTGAAAAAGGCTTCAGTTCAGGATAAAAAAGGACTTTTTCCCATAGCGTCTTAGCAGACGCAGTACTCGTTCCCATATCTCAAGGAACCGAGGTTACATTTGTAAGAGAGTACGTTATCATTCTTGGTGTGAACGTGACTTAAACAGTACCTCGTGTTGCACTGTGAAGTGAAACAGCATGCATCCAGTGCTCTGCTGTGAGAATTAAATGCCTTTTCAATGAAGAGGCAATGTTTCTCTCAAGCACAGCCTGTCCTTCATCTGCAGATGCTCCTTTGGCCCATGATGTTCTTTGTGAATCTGCATGAAAGAAACTAAAGACCTTTTGCTCCTTTCCTCCCAGACAGAACAAATCAATTCACAGCAAACTGAATTGTCAGTTGCCACTCTGGCCTCTTGAATGTTACTTTGCAATTGACTTGCAGACTGTTTTGTCATTGCTGAGACATTGGTTAACACATAACTAGTACAATCCTAGAGCAATAAGACAGTAATGTGAGCTGTGTCCTTATGTGCAGGTCATTGACTGGCCTGCTTTTAATTATTTGAATTATTCATTTTTATTACTTTAACACACTAATCTTTAATTACCGTCTTGCGTACATCACTTTTTTCAGCTTAATTTTTTTATTCAGGAGCCCAATTTCTTTTTTAACTTGAGTCTTTCTTTTGCTTTTTACATATTTATGCGTCTTTCTTCCATACAAACATGCATTTATGCTTCATTTAACTTAAACACAAAGGCAATCATTCCATCAACATACCAACTTTTTTTTTTCTTGTACTTTCTTGTTGCTAAGAAACTGAAACTACCTCATTAGCCTTAAGAAGTTAGGCAAAAAAAAACAAAACGTTGTCATCTCACTGTGATTGTTCATGTTTGAAGTACAAGTGAAATCTTTAGAGAAGGTCAAGGTTAACAAACATTCCTGTTATTATGGGATAGCAGGAAAAACATCAGACAATAAAAATGCAACAAGCATAGCAGCGCAAGATGCTCACTGGAGGGCCTCTCAGGTCTAAATTAGCATATTAATAGTGGCACATGAACACACAGACATCAGTTTTCCCTATCATACCAACATTTCTGTTACTCTGATGCCATCATAAACGCCTGTCCTGTTTGACATCTTCATGCCAGAGATTTGGGCTAATTTAAGCAAAACCATGCTAGGTTTCTTAGAAAAGGGTTTGCAGAGACTTTTCCATTTGTTCATGATGACTACTTGAATAGCCCGACATACCGCCCGACATACCGCCAGCATTTCGAGGTAGTTGATGTGAAGACCGTCCTCCGCTTTTGACCAGTGCCCGAAAGCCGGTTTTCCTTCGCACAGAGCTCCCCAACCTGTGTTGGAAGCATCTGTCGAAACCACCTTTCTCCTGCAGACCATTCCCAGGGGGAGGCCCTGTTCCATCCACTGAGCATTCTTCCAAGGGGTCAGGGCTGTTACACACGTCTGTGACGCCACGCATGGGATGGAACCCGCGGAATGTGTTGGGTATTATTCCTTTCAACAAACAAACATAACTAACTAAATAAATACATGAATATTTTTCTAGAGAAAAAGACTTCATTTACAGTTGAAATTTAGTTGGAAATGAGCAATCATTAAGACGCAGTACAAACCAGCGTTCTGCTCCTGACTGGAGCTCAATATAACTTTATTGCAAAAATACAAGTTTGATTTCTAGCACAGCATGTACAACAAATCCGAATCCGTCTGTACTTAAGGTCAAAGACTGAATATCTGTACACACTTATATATACAGCCTTGCTTTTTTGCCATATCTGTTTGTATTTTAACTCAGAAAAAAAAGAAAGAAGGAAGGGTAAATCAGTCACAGATCCCTGTTCTGTCAATAATTATGCCAGGGCAGTGTTACACTGCATATTGGCCAAACAAAAAAAGCTTCAGATAATTCGCCCAGTGGGAATTCAACACAGAGGCACTCCGATTCACCGTTAGGTCCTGATTTACGAAACCATAATACATGCAAAACTGTTCAGGTGAAATAAAAATAAGAGAGCATGTGATTGGTTGAGGTATTTGACATGCTCTAAAATGTATGAAAAAAAATGTTTGGCCCGGTTTCAATATTAACTACTCTTGTGTTCACTAGGATGAGCAGGTAACACTTTCATTTCCATGAAATGGCACATTGCACCATCAAACTCAGCTAATAGCTGACAGACACTCTCAACACTTTCAATGTTTAAGAATTAAACTAATTAACCATCTCAAGCCACAAGTTCCTCCTCAACAGCATTCAAGAAATTAAATAAAAAGAATATAAAAAGCATTCATTCTCCAGTGGGGGAAAAACTAAAATGATCTCAATTGAAAACGGCAATTCTTGAATTTAGCACTATTATAATAAGCATTATTAAATGACTGAAAATTTATAAAATGGACACTATCACCCAGTTACTTTGCCTTTCACAAACCAAGGCACTGCAGAATGTTCTGTCCTTCTGTTTTCGATCTCTTAAGTCTTAAAACAGCCTGAAAAAGTTTTGCACTTAACAGTTAATGTAAGATATACTGTAGAAACCAAAAAGTTCAACTGTTGCTACTACAAAATATTTAAAATAAAAAGATCACAACAGGTGTCGGTGCTACTATCAGGCAGAACAATACTGTACACAAAGATATCGACACAAATGCCAATGAGGTTGTTGAAAGTTGACTGTTGGTACCTGATGTACCTCTGATTACTTGCACACACTGACGTTACAGCCCTCTAAATGAAGTAGTTACACACAAACATTGTTTTCCCATAAAAATGGGAGAAGTTACAACAGAGGAACGCTTCTAACTTAACACTTCTGAAGTGCACTAAACTTGAGTTAACAGTTAAATTACTATCACAGAACTAAGTAAGGTTAGCTTGGAAGGCTAATTGGAAACTAAAGCATATTTGTGCATATACGGAGCAGACACTGTATATCAGCAGGCAAGGTTTGTCAGTCTTGGCGTTTTGTGTTTGCATCAGTTAAGATGCAGAGGCCCACGCAGCAAAGTGCTCTGTTCTTCACAGCTTTGTGCTGAGATGGTGGCCAATTAAAGTGAACCTAACTCTGTGGAACTGAATTTGCAGTGGAAATGTTTAAAAGCGCAGGGAGTGGACGCCCTCCTTTTAGCGTTTAAATGCAGCAGCTGCGTTTAAAATATGCTTTTGGAAAATGACCACTCCACATTCACATATGAGCCAAACATCATGGTCTTTCACTTTAGCCAAAGCAGCTAACCTAAGACCTTCCTTTTTTGCTGTGTGAAGAGCTACACAGAATTGGCATGGGCTCTCACATTTACTTCCAAGTCAGGCAATGAGTGCGTTGAAGGATGCGTTTCCTGCATGACTCAGCTGGTCATTCTGTAGTGGTTCATATGGGCTCTGCAGGTCTGGCAGTAGCTTCTAGTGGGCTCAGCTGGGTTCTGCTTGCACAACCCGCAGATATAAACAGGAGGGCCACGGGATGTCCCACCACGTGGTTCTGTCCTGGGGAAGACACGAGTGTCCCTAGCAGCCCTCCAGTCCCTCTCGGGGGGCACATCAAGGCGGAGGGGTTGGGTCGGCGGCTCAAGGTGAGGGTGATGATGGCTGGAGTGATGCAGGATTGGGGTGGTTGAAGCAGATTGTTGGTGGGGCTGTCTGTAAAAGCCATCCATCGTCCTATTTGATGCTGTAGTGCGGTGAGGGTGGGATAGTGTGGCGTAGGCTGCGTCTGGGTAGTTCCGGGGGCCTGGGCCCGCTGGGGGTCCCGGCCTTGCTTGGTGCACAGGGGACCCAGATGAAACTGACCTACGGTGGGCCCTTGGAAGGGTGCCGTAGCTCATTGCGACATTGTGGTAGTTTTCACGGGAGAAAGTTTCACCCCTGTCAAGCACAGCCAAAAACTTGTTGGCCTTTTGACAATCTCCTGCAGAGAGGAGCGAAGAAAATTAGAATTGTTGTTTATAGCAGTGATGCATCCTGTGTAGGGCTGCATGATTAATTATAATAAAACAAAATCTTGATATAGCTTAGAGCAATTGACAAATCACAAAAACTGTCATTTAATTATATAAATATGTTTTGCTTGTTTTAAAACAGATATTTTCTATATTATAGTGATTATTATTATTATTATTCAAAAAAATATTGAACAAATAAAAAAAATAAATAATAATAATTATCATTATCATATATATATATATATATTGTATTTTTGCTGAACTGTGCATCTCTACAAACAAGCAGAGAAAACCTGGAGCTTAAAAAAAGAAAGGAAAAAAAAAACATTTTAAATCACATTTTTATGAGAAAAAAATGCTTTTAGTTTTTTTGTGCAGCCCTTATGAAAGGTCAGAAAATTGTTAAATAGACAAACAGAATACATCTTGCCAGATGAATCATCAAGCTCAACCTCAATAGCGTTTTAAGTCCTTTGACTAGTTTAACAACAAAAGTGTTAAAACGCAAGATCACAGACAACACAGATGGCAGCCTCTTGCAGACAGAGAAAAAAGCATCCGTGTCTGCAACATGAAGGCTGAAAGTGCGGGTGGGGTGAGATGTTACCTTTTTGTCCATGAGAGGGCCTCAGTGTCTGCTGGTGCAGGTGTGATGGAAGGGCGGGGTGGTGGCGGTGGCTTGGGTGAGGGTATTGGGGCTGCGGTTCATGAGGGAACATAGGAGGATTGTGGGAAGTAGGGGTTAAAACATGCAGGGAGGTGCTGGAACGACGTGTGGGGAGTTGCACATTCACATGCGTGGACATCCTGGAGACATGGGGGTCCTTTATGAAAGAAATTTAAAAAAAGTAATGAAAGGATGAGAGAGGAGGAGACATGAAAATAATACGAGTTCCCAGCAGCACCATGACAAGGACAGAAATGACACACACACACAAACAATTGGTAACTAAAGAACAGATGGACAATGGACATATAAATGAAATAAAATATAAAAATGAAAACAACGAAAATAACTTAAGCTCTACTTCAGTGGTTCTCAAACTGGAGTCTGCCAACTACTGGTGTCCATGAAGGATTTCAAGAGATCTGTGAGATGATTGGCTGATTTAAAAAAAAAAAAAATCTTATTATAACTGAAAAGGTAGTTTTGCAGCTGAAGTGATACACCGTCTAAAAACCACTATGTACTTAAATTTCTTTGTCTTCTCCACAGCCACACCAGGTGGCAGTATTCCTCTTTCAAAGTGAGTTCACAAACATTTAAGACCACACTGCCTAAAACCATGATGTAACATTTCATACATACTGAGAATACTTGAAAGCTGTTTTTGCAGCAAATTAAATGGTGCTAATGTATTCTGAGTGCACAATATGAGGTTTGAGTGTTTGACCAAGTGACTTTAAATTGTGAGACACCCACAAAGCTGCGAGACGGGGGTACATCAGTCCGTCCTCCAATGACAGTCCCACTCAGACTCCGAGCAATTCGTCGCAGGTTCTCGGCACTGTATGATTCATCCTCACCCAGTGGTGCATCATAGGCCGCAGCAGACACAGGCTGCACACACACATGATGACACTGCATTAGCATTTCAAATCCTTATCAAATACTAAGAAAGATCTTCACTTTGTGTGATGACAATTATACACACATCTTATACATAATACTATAAATACTACTGAAATAATGCAGGTATGCCAACGCACCCTCTGAAGTGATTTAGTGCTATATGCTGGTGTCCTGTAGGCACTCCTCTCGATCTCTGCTGTGGGGGTTTTAGAACGACCAAGTGTGGCAGAGTATCCAGCGTTGTGCTTACGAGAAGCAGCGGGACCTAGAAGAACACTAAATTTATACAACCTGGTTCCAGAAAGGACAACTCATAAATAAATAAATAAATATATAAATAAGTTAGGTATGTAACGATAGTATCAATATTGTGATATCGTGATAGCAAAACTGTCTCGATATTATCGTGGTCACATGACGATATGAAACGATAGGTCCTCCGGGCAAAAAGTGTAGTTTTTAAAAAACTACATTTAAAAAAACGGCCACCAGTTATGCTTTATTTTCACAGCAGATGATTACAGCATTTCACTAAATTTGTAGTGAGACACGTTTTTGTAAGCCTGTTCTCACTGAAGCTGGAGTTTTCCTTCAAAATAAAAGCTCTACTGCCGTTTCCGTCAAAATAAAAGCTTAAAAGTGCATTGTGAATTGCTGACAGCCAGCGGTTTAAATGCAGTCTAAATTCTAAATATCTCTTTCAAGTGTAGAAATTAGGAAAGAAGTATTGTAATTTCCCTACTGTAGTATAAAGCAAAAATAATATACCTATGAAATGTTCATTTTCAACTTCGTCATGCCCAGAGCCGATCGAAGCGGATATCATTTGTTTGTTTGTCATTTCTCCGATCACAAATGCAGACATGGTTTTATGTTTATGCAACGCTACTGCCGTTTCCGTCAAAATAAAAGCTTAAAAGTGCATTGTGAATTGCTGACAGCCAGCGGTTTAAATGCAGTCTAAATTCTAAATATCTCTTTCAAGTGTAGAAATTAGGAAAGAAGTATTGTAATTTCCCTACTGTAGTATAAAGCAAAAATAATATACCTATGAAATGTTCATTTTCATTTATTTTACAGAGCAATTGTTTTACAATATATGGCTATTACTGTCATTGTTGTTATTATTAAAGGGGTCATATGATGCGATTTAAATTTTTCCTTTCTCTTTGAAGTGTTACAAGCTCTTGGTGCATAAAGAAGATCTGTAAAGTTGCAAAGACTAAAGTCTCAAATCCAAAGAGATATTCTTTATAAAAGTTAAGAGTCAACACCTAACTAAAACGGCTGGTTCTAACACGCCCCCAGAGAAACAATAATGTACAGTATGTGGAAAATAATGTGTTTTTTTTTACTTTAAACCGCATAAACACATTTCATTACACCAAATACACAAAATAATGTTCTGTTTAGCAACATCATATGACCCCTTTAATATATTCTAATTTGTTTGGATTCCTAAAACACCAGTGTGGATGTAATTTAGACTGAGACAGTGTATCACAAATAAAAAGAGAGTTGAGTCCCCTTTAAAGTTCAGGTACAAGTCAATTCACTGACTTTTTCCTGACTTAAGTTTTCTTAGTTAAGAACATGGGTTGGAGCTCTTACTTTTGAACTCTCATGTGCATTTTTATATAGATTTTTTTACGGTAAAACGTTTCATTATTTTTAATATGTTTTTAAATAACTGAAATTTACTGGGGTTTTTTTTGCAACGTATACGTTTTTTAAACATATTTCAACAGAGAGTTATATGAGATCTCAGTGAGATCTTGTTCAAAATTACCTGATCTGTTGGCTAGCTGAGGGCTGGGTCCCTGTGGGGCACGGGGCATGCTGGGAGCCTTCAAGCTGGCCTGATAAAGTGAGTCCAGCTCTGACAGCTCCTCACAGGGTGAGCCACGTCCCGACCGTGCACAATTCTGGGAGTTGTAGTATCGATTGACATTCTCGGCCCACCGCTCCACGGGCATAGGGCCGGCTGGACGCTGATCCCGTTCTGGTGAAGACCGGGACGGAGGACAGGGGGACGAGGGGGAGCGGAGGTCTGCTGGAGAGTATGGGGAGGACTCTATCTCAGTAGGACGGCCATCAGGACGTTCCAGACTGCGACAGGACCAATTACGCGAGGGTGCTGGGAGTGATTTTTGACAGGCATCAGAAGCATGGCTGTGGGGTGTGTGGGTTAGGCCGTGGAGAGACAGAGGACGAGGCGGGTTTTGCAGTCCTTCCCCAGAGTTGGAGTGATCAGAAATGGAAGGTGTTTGACGGGCACTGAAATGAGATGGACTAGAGGGCGTATTGAGAGGAGCCGACGACTTAAGAGGAGCCTCACAGCCATTCACTGCGATCACAGGCACAGTGGCAGAACTGAGCATACTAGAAGTTTGTACAAGAGAGTTTGTGGTGGTTACAGGGTCTCTGGGGCCCCACGTGTGTGAGTGTGGCCCATTCTCTGTCACAGCAAGAGGACTGGAGTTGTCCCCTGCATTGTCTTGCTGCTGGCAAAGTGTATCGGTATGGTAGGAGGAGACAGGAGGGCCGGGGGCTTCAGAAATCGGTTTATTTGTAGACTGAGGTTTCATGTGGAGAGGTGATGGTGGTCTTAATGCATCTTCTGAAACTGCCTTCTCATCCTCTTCTTTAACATTTGTCAGAAGTATTTGGACCGGGACAGACTGCTCGCTAAATGCAGAACATGAAAAATAATAATCAGTTTCTGATAATAAATAATGTGAACCTACCTGAGTCAGTATCTTGAATCAGTTCTTGACGATGTCATGCAGTATACAGATTTGTTTCAGCCTCTCTAACAACGTGACATTACCTGAGCAGCTCGTTGCAATATGATCTCTTACACTAACCTTTCAATTCTTCAAGTTAAAAAAAGTATTGATCATTATTTTTAAGGCACAATGCATGTTTCCTCTTCCCGTGTGCAGGGCTCCTGGAGTGCACACACACACATATACACAACTGCAGCCAGCAGCAGGTACCTGAGGGGCTGTTTCTGTTCCTTCTCTTCCTCCTGTTGCTTCTGCTGCAGTTCCTGCTGCTGCTGCATGCGCTGCTGCAGACCTCGTGCTCTCCTCATGCACTTTTGCATCCTGCCCTGAGCGTTAGCGCTGCTCTCATGCAAGGTATGCCTGAGTTTAGCTACAACGCAAACAAAAAACAAAACAAAAAAAGGCAAAAGAAAAATGAAACAGATGCAGAAAATAAAGAGCCGAGTCATGGGGGACATGCAAACACACATTACAAAGAACTGAAATGAAAAGGGTTTTGAAGGGTCCTGAATTATGAGGAAGGGGTTGAGGGGAGGGTCACACAAATAGGGGAGATGGGGAACCTAGTAAAATCCTTTACACAAATGTTAAATTCTCTCAAGCACAAAATGATTAAATTATAATGAAGTTGACTTAAATCAAAATGAATTGTAGTTCAGCCACTGAACTTAAAAAAAGCTAATTACACGAGCCTAACACCACATCTCAGTATAATTAACTATAAATAATTACAGAATGAGAATTCTTTCCTCTTCATATGAGCTGCAATCTACACAACCCTACAGAGGCTCTGGAAACCGAGAGGCAGTGGGGGAGTGATGTGTAGGTAACACACGAGAGTGAGTGTGTGTGTGTGTGTGTGTGTGTCCGTGCATGTGGTCACCCCGTAAGTGACAAAGCTCAGGGTATGACATACAAAAGACAGACAGACGTAAAATGACATTGGTAAGCAAACAGCTTTTACATCAACCGCAGATAGAAAGATACAGAGAGCATTTTATTGACATTCACAAAAACTGATAGTTGGAGCTGGATAGCTGGATTCACGAAAGAAGTTAAGAAGTTTCTTAAATTCGTAAGAACATTTGAAAGTACAATTTCCCCCCCAAAAAAATGCTTTTTAACATGTGTGGAGGCAGACTAAACAGGCTTGCAGGGGGCGGTTTACGCAGGCTAACTGACTGGATAAGTCCTGCATCCTTCAACCACAAAGATGTCTGTTGTTTTGATTAACCATTATCAGGTAAAAAAATAAAAATAAAAAACATGCACAGATGAATTGTCCACAAGAAAATCTTTGCATGTGCTGAAAGTTGCCAAATTACAAATTATGTCAAAATTATACAATTAAAACGAGGTCACTAATTGATATATTACTAGCATTTATGATGGTTTTTAAGAAAATTCTTTTCAGGAATTCAAAAAGATCAACATTCTTAAAGGGGTCATATGATGCTGCTAAAAAGAACATTATTTTGTGTATTTGGTGTAATGAAATGTGTTTATGCGGTTTAAAGGGGTCATCGGATGCTCATTTTGCACTAGTTGATATGATTCTTTAGGGTCTTAATTAAAAGTCTATAACATACTTTGGTTCAAATTTCTCAATGTTAGTGTAAAAAACACCTTTTTAAAACTGTCAAAATCAGCTCTGTTTTTATCAAGCCATTATAGTCCATGTTGCTTTAAATGTTAATGAGCTCTACCGGCCTTGCACCTCTCTTCCAAGCTGCTCTCAGAGAGACGGTTTACTTTAGCCGCATTCATCGTGAAACTTGCTAATTAGCACATTATTAGGAAAGGTGATTTGCAAAGATTCATAAAAAACCCTTATACTCACTTCTTCTGTAGATGAGGCTGGATCATAAAGAATATCTCTTTGGATTTGAAACCTTAGTCTTTGCAACTTTACAGATCTTCTTTATGCACCAAGAGCTTGTAACACTCCAAAGAGAAAGGAAAAATTGAAATCGCATCATATGACCCCTTTAAGAAATGTTTTTTTGGTATACAAAATATTCTTAACTTTATTCTTAAGTTAGAAGTTAAGAATAAAACAGCAGTTAAGAATTTCATTCTTAAGAATGTTTTGTGAATCCAGCCCCTAGATTCTGGTCAATTCCAGTTACTTTAAAACACTTGCTATAGTCATGGCTTAAGGGGCTGCATGCTAGGCACTGTATTAATAAAAGTTTAATGTTTAAATGTAAAAGGCAATCGTTTGATGTTTAAATGTAATAAATATATTAAGATAAAATGTATTAAAACAATTTTAATAACTGCAGAATAAAATGGTGAGTGTTGTAGATAGGATTTGGAACTGACACAAAGGTAAACAACTTTTGTTTATTAGCCAAGGGACATGGTGATTGGCTGATGTAGATCTCAACATGGTCACACTTGACTAGCATCAAATCTATTTCAAATGCAGCAGACCTTAGTATACATCATTAGGGCTGTTGCGATTCGTCGATTTTATTCGACTATTCGATTTAAAAAAATCCTTGACTTCATTTTGCTCGAGTCGACTAACCGGCAAAATACCGGAAGTGGCACATTTCACAGACGAGAATGTATAAAACACATTATTAGTCTGTTTTCCAAGGCTGCATGATATATTAAACTCATTTAAAAATCATAATTAAGCATAATTGTGAATTCACAAATGCTACGATTTAATTAAATAATTATATGCGATGCAGTTCTAATACAGTATATGCGCTTTAATTATTACATTATGTATTTTAACAATTTTGTTCAATAAAACCATATGATTTCTTGCTTTTGATTTCCAAATTCAGTTTTTTTCCATTTTCATTTTTCTATAGTCTGTTTTAATGGTTAAATTAAATTTTATTAATCAAAAAGCCTGTCTAATTAATTGAGTTGAGATGGACACTTGCTTCTTGCACTTTATGTTGCACTTTACTTTTTTACTTTTGGATTTCTTTGGTTTAATTACATATAGTTGAATAAAATATTCTTAAGTAAAATTGTTGATTTTTTGTGGGAAATTAATCATTTAGATTAATCGATTAAATGATAAATTAGTTGATAGATTAATCAAAATAAAAATAGTTGTTAGTGGCAGCCCTATACATCATACACTACACAAAGTATTCATTAAGGTTACCATAGCACTAGGTCCAGGTCGCACTTCTTTAGGGCTGGTGGTGGGTTTCTATGGTTACAGGCAAATCAGCCTGTATCATTATGACCTCACAGTCAAAATGAAAAATATTCAGAATAAGGAGGCATGTCGGCCCATGTATATGCAGACTTAAACCATGACACTACTATTGTGTGAAGGCAGACAGTAAAAGTGTATCTGGTGTATTAGTGAGAGTCTTTATATGGAACAGAGACAAACACACTCAAACACAGAGATGTACAGACACACAAACATGTGGCAGTAGTGATAGCAGGAGCAGGCTAAGGGCAGGATTACTTACACATTGCTTCGTTAACCACAGACAGAGCGGCGGCCACCTCTCCTGCCTGTTCCAACCTCAGAGACTGGTCTAACAGAGACTCTGCCTCCAACACACACCTCTCAAAGCCTTCCCCTTTCCCTGCAGGTAACAAACATCATAGCACAGCGCTTTTCAGCATGGAAACCAGCACACCTGCATTTCACACACACACGTACACATGCAGTCCAAAGCTCCAAAGGATAAGCCACAGCAGAAACCCAAGGAAATGCATCCGGAGACAGAGCCACTCCCTTCGCCCCTGGCACAGCATGCTGACGCCTCACCTTGGTTCTGGAGCTCATCCAGATCCATGAACTTGCTGGGTCTGGGATTGAAGCCCATGGCCGCCTCTTTCTCCTTTTCCTTTCGCCTCTGTAACTCTTGCTCCTTGGCCCGGCGAGCTACTTCCTCCTGTAGCTCATCCAGTTCACTGCGGCCCTCACCTGCTACACACAAACACAAAAATATTAAGGAAACAATCTTGGATAATCTATTGCTGCATTTACACATTCAACCAAATTAGTTTTTTTGTTTTTCATGATCCAACTTTTTTGGCAATAAACTTTCCAAGTCACTGCCAAAAAAGTTGTCATCTGACTTACATGTAGTATTGTTATTGATTGTTATTGTTAACTAAAACTAAATCTATTAACAATAATTTTGGTAATTTTATTTCAAAGCTGAAATAGAAATATTTAACAAAAATTTGACATTTTTCCATCTAATTGAAATACGTCCAAGCTGAAGTACTAAAACTACTGAAACTGAAATATAAATGAAAGCTTAATAGAAGTTATATATATATATATATATATATAAGTATTTAATTTTATATATAAAAAAAAATGAATAAAAATGGCAAAAGCACAAAATTATTAAAATAAACAAAATTAAAATGAAAATATAAAAATATTATTAAATACAATACAGCATATAATTAATACTAATCTTAAGACTGCTTACATAAAAACCTTTGTATCGGATTCTCTTCTTAATTCTGAATCTTTCATCATTGTTACATGGTTGAGACAGCTGCTGTCTAAACTATACGCAATCAGAACAAAAGTACCTCTTAATAATATGAAAAATATCATGCAATTATTGTGTGATTGATCACTGCTGTCACTTCATAAATCTGTTACATACACTAATTCCCACTATTAATGTAAACACAGTCCTAAGTGAATACAAATAGACAGAAAAAAACCCGGATGTATGGCAAAATATTATATTTGTGCATTAAGCCTTGCAGTGTGATATCAGCCTAAGAGGCACACAATTATAATATGCACAAAATTCTATATAACGAACAGTAGGCGGTGACCAAACACATCTATTCTGGTCACATGGAGAAGCACAAACAGATATAGCAGTTGATAGCTCTCCAGGGCAGACTCATGTTCCTCAGTTTACATAACAGATATACAGAGATAACATTTCACAGAAAGGAACAGGATGTATTTTGCGGCTGATTCTGCTCAATACTGCTTGCTTATTATATTAAGTTCATATACTGAAACAGCAAAATGGGCATGTGACATCTAGTTTAAACATGATTAATGCCATAAGGTAAAGAACAGGTGAAATCGCCCACATGTTGACTGTATGACGACTATAAACACACACGTTCATACTGTACACACCTAAACTCATGTGACTGCTGCCCTTGACTGATGCTTTGACATCCTGCAGTAAAGCACTGCTGCTCTTGGATTTGGTGACAGTCTTCCATGATAGGCTGACATCAGGTGGAGGCTTTTTCATTCCTGCCTCTTGCAAGCTGGAAAACGCAGAGAGAGAGAGAAAGAGAGAGAGAGAGAGAGATGAATGATGTGCTAACGAAGATCCTTATCAGTTCTGACGAGCTTTTTTCCATTATACCTGTGTGTGCCATTACTGGTGCCCTCGCTAACAGGCATGTCAAGGCTGACGGGGCTGTTACTGTTCCTCTCACTGCTCTCATAGCCACTCTCCATCCTCTGGATAAGCCGCGGGGGCTGCTCTGATCCTCGTCTCAGGGGTCCCGTTAGGTCTCGAAAGGTGGTCTGTTCCGATGATGCCGCCAAGTCCCCCTGAGGCCCAGTTTCTTCAGACAAGAGAGCGCCTAGCGGACTGTACCCGGCCTGCTTGCGGCGTTCCCTGCTAAAGATGCTGTCGATGTTGAGGGCCTCACGGCGAGGCTTCCAGGGCGGACGGTATTGCCCTCCAGAGGAGCTGGACTTGGACTCACTGCTGGTGCTGTCAGCTTCCCAGTCTCGGGCTTTAGCGGTGAAGTCAGGTGGGCCAACGGAGCCCGAGGATGATGCGGAAAGCAGCCGGTTATGGATAATGTTGCTCATAGTCTCCTTAAAGTCTCGAAGTCGACTGGAGCTAGGCTTAGGTAGGGAACGAGGAACCTGCTGCTCTTTTAAAGTCTCGCCTGTAAAAGAGAAGGTGAGGGAATCATTTAAAAAAAAAGAGGAAGGAAGAATGTTATTTTTACATAACCTAATATTACTGTACACAGCCAGTACAAGCAACAGTGATGACTAATGCAGCTCGCATTTATTGTCCAACATGTTACTCAATCCACTAATGATATGTCAGAGCATCAATCAACTGACCACAGTTACGGATTATTAACCAGGTTTCCATTAAAATAACACAGCAATGTTTGCATTGTGGTTTGGTGACAGCATTATATTGTTTAACTGCATACCTTCGCTGTGGTAGCCGGCAGACAACACCTCATCTGTCTTAGAGCAACGACTCCTTGAATCACCCCGGACCTCAAATTTTCGTGGCCTGCTGGCACTTCGTTTCCGGTCCAAAACTCCTCCCTTTCTGTCCAAGACCCCGTCTTTTCTGAGAGTGTGGCGCTGCACTTGATCGCTGTCAGGACCTTCACAAGTGAGTAACAACCAAAGTCACTATTTGAATTGTAGAGCAGTAGGACTACGGGTGGCGCAACATTAACGTTGAACCGAGGCACTCCGAGACACTGAAAACACTTGATCATGAGCTGCTCATGTGTAAATGAACATGGTGCCATGCTTTACTCCAAAACGCTCAAGCACATATTTCTTTAATTATATCACAGCATTTGCCATTTGATAAATAAAACAAAATCAGATCGACCATTAATTGTGCAGCCCTAAGCAGGACATAAAACAGATCACATTAAGTTTACTTCTGTATGGATCAACTAAGTGCCAATATACCTAATATGGTGTCTAAACTGTCTTTGATTCTAGTGCGAGTGTACAAACTGACATACCTGTGGTTTCCAGGCTGCTGTGGGAGGCGGAGTCGTTGTCCGGGTTACAGATGACGGTTCCCTGGGAGTCAGAGGAGAAGTGGGAAGCCATAGACTCGTGGTGGGAGTGTGAATGCTTATAGCTGTAGCTGTCTGTGGAGGAGTCTGTCCGTGTGTCGCTGGAAATTGACGGCTCACGGCCTGACAAAACAAACAGAAGATCTGATGCTTATCACTGAGGCTACCAACTGGGGAACCCATATTGCTTTAAAAATGAGATTCTGGAATTTTCAGTCAAAAGCTGTGACTGGCAAAAAGAGTTATGAGAGGTGACAGGGCACTGCTAGGTATTCTGGGTGGATGTTTACTCAGGTCAAAGGAGCTCATCCCAAGTTTCTATTATGTTCTGGTACCTAGATATAGCTCTGATATAACTATGATGTAGCACAACATTTAACTCTAAGGCAAAGTTTTGTTGTTTTGTCTTTGTGTGTATTACCCTGTGCACCATTTATTCATGAGTATTAGCTATGTTTTATGGACAGGCTACTTATGATGAACTCTATTACCATCTATATCATCGGTATATTGTAAGGTAAAAAGCAGACTATGGTAGTTCAAGTAGCTCAGTATATTGACATCATATCTTCTAATGAAATATATGGTTATTACAGCTGCTGATTCTTTACCGTTTAACAGAATTGTTCTTTTTTACACCGACAATCTTAGCAAACTCCACTAAAGATTTGTCTATAAAGCAATGCATAGATATAATTATTATAATCAGTATTGAAATATTACTTGTTTTGTTATGAATTGAAACATTTGCTTTACTATGTAAAACTTCCTCCTGAAGGTGCACCAAAGAAATGCAGGTTAATAAATTGGACCAGTAAACCGGCCTTATGCTGGTGTGCAAGTACCTGAATCCTCACTGTCGTAGTATGCTTTAGTGTAGTGATGTAGGTCTAGACGAGAAGCCAAATCCTGAGCTGACACTGGCGTCCCCCGGGGGTCAGCATAGAGCAGCAACAGCGGCTGGTAATGCCCCTTTATACAGCGGGACACCACATCCTTCCACTTGGGCCCAATCTGTGAGAGAGAAAATAAAAGGCAAGATGTTGAGAGTATAGTTTTAAAGCAGTTTAAATAATACATTTGACAGATTTTCCTAAATTAATCCCTAAAAAGCTCAACCAAATATTACTCTCACCTAGTGAAAAACAAAAAAAAGCAAAGACCAGCTGAAATGTTCTGGATACCCTGAATAACAAAGCTGAGACTGAAACTCAAGTCCGACATGTTTCCGTCATTTTCACACCAATCTTACCCCCAAGACTCCAACTTCCCAAATGGATGACTTTCTCTACGCTACCTCCATAAACCGACAGGATGCCCGAGCGAGCCGCAGTAACAGACAAGCATGCACGAAAACGTGAAAGTGTGAGCGGGACAGTGAGCATTAGTGTGTGTGTGTGTTTGTTTGCGGTGGACTATCATGGCGGATTCTGTCTGTAGGCCACGCCCTGCCACTGTCCAACTGGGGTTGTAAACAATAGTGGGATATCCTTGTTTTCAGAGGGCTTTTGTAGGAGCTCTGCACAGCTCACGTGCAGGTCAGCATAGGCTTGCCAGACCCCACAGAAAAAGCTGCTTGGTTTGCAACTGTCTAGAATCCACAGCCCTGCACTGCTATTATGAAGATAAAATTCTGCAAGTTCAGAACTAAGGGAATGACATAACACACAATATTTGTTTTTCCAAGTACCTTTAATACTTGCAGGAATTATGCAGTAAACGCATCACTGTAAAAAGTAGGGATGTACCAATATATTGGTACCACATCAGTCATCAACCAATATTCGAGATTGGTATCAGATGATAATTAGCATTTAATTGAGCATTCTCATTTTCTATATTTTACTATTCAGATTATCCTTGCGGCCATCTAACTCTTACTGAAAGTAAATTTTTAAAATTCTCAAAATTAATATCCATTTGTCATACTGTACATTATAAAACATCGTTTTATTTCTTATTTAGGTAAAATAATTTTAGTATTTAATACAATATTTTATACTTAAATAAAATTCAGCATTTATTAGTTACCAGTCATAATATGGAAAATGCAAAAGCTTGGGGTCAGTAAGATTTTTTTTAACGTTGCTGAAATTAGTTTTCTATGTGAAATCTGATATCTATTTTAATATATTTTAAAATGTAATTTATTCCTGTGATGGAGTCTTTTAATGTAGATATTGATCAATTTAACGCATCCATGCTGAATAAAAATATTAAAAAATTTTAACGTTACTGTATATTGTCGGCATGTGCCAGATTTGTGCATAATAACTTATTGACGTTCACTTGCTATAAACATTGTGCCATTCCTGTCTTTATGTTATGACCATATACAGAATGTGCAATAATGACTATTGACGCATTGAGTTACTGGCATGTGCACATATACCTGCACACACAGACAAACACACAAACACAGACTCCTAAGTGGTGAGTCAACAAGCTGTCGAATTATGTAAAACAGCACACACACATACATTCACCCACCCACCCACCACATGCTGGGAGCCTGTGGGGCACTGCTAAATAACGAGACAACACATTGGTCTATCCAAGTTAATGATTCTACACAAACTCCCTGTGGTCAGAGCAAGCAAGGAACATTAGATCAGGGCATGTATAAATAAAGCCCTACGAACAACCCTGGCAAACCGGCAAGCTAAGGGCTGCATTTTTCACATTCACTGGTTACACAAAGCCCAGATTATTACCTCTTTCACATGAGCGTCATCGAAGTAAATCCACTTGCGGATTTTGGTTTGGAAGAAGAAAGTAGAGTAGTGTTTGCCATAGTAACAGACCACGCCCACAAGGTAGAGCTCCGCCTGTTTGGCCTTGTCCTCTGTCACTCGGTAGAACAGCTATGGGTGAAACGAAGGACGAGAGGTCGCTTATTACTCAAATACAAGCACATTCACATACACACATAAAAGTAGATCCACACAACCAAACCATTACAAAGATTACCTATTTTAAGTGACCATGAGATCTTTCAAAGGCATTAAAAACATCTGTGATGGAGATTATCAAATCACCACTCTTGATCTCTAGATGTATTTGAGTTTAAAATAATCATTTGTTTAGGCCTTTTAAAACGGTTTTACATTTCACATTGAAACGTGAACCCAGTACTTAGTGAAATGCAAACCCACTTAGGACACCCTGTGCCCGCCCTGTGTCCTAAGGAAGCCTGAAATCAGTGGCAGAGAGTTGCTTTTATGTGTGAGTCATTGTCATTGATGCAACAAGTTTGACAAGTTCTGCCTGTAATTCCCATGTGCATCACAGTGATCTCAGAGTCGTAGAACTGCTGTATGGAGCCGAATGCATTTATCACCATCTATAACTTCAAAAGCTTCTGTTTTCAGTTGTGGATTTGTTCATCTATCAACCGATTTATATCAGCTGAATTGTGTGTAGTTTGTGGGATATTTTAACTACTGGCAGGGTGCATGTCTTACATCTCCGAGCCGCAGGACGGTGCCCAGGCTATGAATGACGTCTTCTGCTAGGTCAGAGTGGTCTGAGTCCCACACCAGGCCAATGGTGATGATCTCTGGGGAGTTCATCAGGACACGTCGAATACGCAGCTTCTCTCCACAGTTGCCCTGTAGAGGAGAAAAAGGCCGAGGAAAATATATATATTTTTTTTTATATATATATATACTGGAGCTTGAAAGCTCTGGAGCTATAATGAAACACACACACACTTACATTAGCCATTACCATTAATTCCCATTCCCCCTGCCCTAACTTACACAGTCACCCTAATATAGATCAGAAACCACAGATGAACACCCATATTTTGTGTGTGTGTTTAGGTTGCATGAAGCATGTCTGAGGGTCAAGATAACATGTCTGTTTCAGATCTACACAGATTGTTCTTCAACTTTCAAATGTGTTCATTTCAAAAGGAAATCTTGCCATAGTGTCAACTCAAAACATGTTTACTTCCATTAAAGGGGTCATATGATGCGATTTAAAGTTTTCCTTTCTCTTTGGAGTGTTACAAGCTGATTGTGCATAGATAAGATCCCTGAAGTTGCAAAGACTAAAGTCTCAAAACCAAAGAGATATTCTTTATCAAAGTTAAGACTCTGCCACGCCCCCCTAAAACGGCTCGTTCTAACACGCCCCACATATCTAGGTCATTATGTGGGAATATTTGCATAATGCCGCCCAAATGTTCACGCAAAGAAAGAAGGCGTGGTTTCAGTAACCGCAGTTAGTGTTGAAGCAGCATGTCAGGGAGACGCTGTGTGTTTCTAGGCGAAAGCAAAAGCACTTTATTTGGCCTTCCGAAAGTAGATGCATTTAGGAATCTTTAAGATTACTTACAACAGAACAGCAATGCATTTTATGGACGACCGTTTCGTGAACCTAGGAGAGGAGGTAATTCTGACTTTGCTATAACAATCTGGCACTTCTGAATCAGCTACTGTTTTGTTACTAGTTTAAGTATTTGCTATTGACTGTTAAAATGCGGAGTTTTGCGCATCAGCGTTTGAGAGAGGCGGGGCATAGAGGACCTACAATAATGTACAGTATTTGAAAAATAATGTGTATTTTGAACATTAAAGCATGTCAACATATTCTGTTACACCAAATACACCAGATAATGATCTTTAAAAAAGCATCATATGACCCCTTTAATACTAGTGAACAGACAAACATAAATGCATAATGTCATCTAATAATGTAATGATTCATTATTATATGAATGTCGTATATGAATATCAGAGAAGTCAAAATTTAAGCTTGGTTTATGCTTGAATTAGAAAAAAAATACGTACTTGCCAATAGGCTTAAAAAAAAAAAACTTTTTTTCCCTTTGAATATAAGAAGTTTCTAATGCTCAAAATATCAAAATACGGTAAAAACAGCAAGGTTAAAAATATGAATACAATTTAGAAACTGGTTTGTATTTTCATATATTTTAAAATGTAATTTATTCCTGTGATGTCAAAGCTGAATTTTCAGCAGCCATTACTCCAGTGTTCAGTGTCACATGACCCTTTCAATGCTGAAAACAGATGCACTGTTTAATATTTTTGAGGAAACCATTATACTTTTTTCAGGATTCTTTGATGAATAGAAAGTTAAAAATAACAGTATTTATTTGAAATAGAAATATTTTGTAACATTATAAATCTCACACTTCTGAAGGAAGTATTAATTTTGTAAAAACGTAAAAAAAAAAAAAATCCTCCTGACTTATGTTATTTTGCCTCTGAAGTAAATATATCTTGTTTCATGGATGTTTAGATATTTTTGCTGGAAAACAAGACAAAAATACTGATTAAGAAAATTATTTTTTTGCAATGTGATAAGCCGTCATGCCTTATCCAAGGAAATCCTGATCTGACATGAAAACAAGTGTGCGTGTTTTGCGTAAGAATTTGGTCCTCCTCTGGGCCACGAGACAAATTAACATTCCACTGATTGCGTCCTGTTTTGACCCAGCGATTACTTAATGGCCACAATCCTATTCAAACCCAGACAAGCGCCACATCCACACACACACAAACACACACACACACACACACACAGTCCCAGGCTTCATTATGCCTAATTAGCACTTGATTTGATAGAGCTGAGTGTGTGGCGGAGTGTGGTAATGCTAACCGGGCAGTTGCGCAGGTCTCCCACAGTGCTGGCATTCCTCAGCAGCTCTCCGAACATGTCTGGGGTGGGCTTCTCCCGGCATTCCAGCATCCGCACTGCCTGGTTACTGTAGCATAACCAACACATGTCACACATTAAGATAGCACAAGCAATACACTGCAGCTCTCATATCTGTAACTACGGGTGAAGTGTTTGTATTTGTTGACTTTGATTTAGTAAACGTTAACAGCCTATAATTACTATATGAATTTAAAAATTAAAAATGGAATTTGTAACACTAACCTAAACAACTGACTCAAGTGTTTAATGCGTGTTTGTGTACAGTGTTTTTTGTATTCAGAAGGGTTTTCAGGGAGGTCACAGTCCAGACCGGTTTGATCGTATTGTTGCAGCAGAGGTCACTGCATCTCAAAGACACTGCAACACTGCGTGCCTGGAGCAACATCGCAGCTCAGGCAGGTTTCAGGGAGACAGCCTTGCCAATGTCACAATGTTACCTGGACAGGCTCCTCCCAGTGTGAGTGTGTATACAAAAAATATCTTAAACATAGTCATTCCCACTGACATTAAAATTCATCAAATATAATATTATAAAAGAGTCTAAAATCTTCTTGTTCAGAAATTTTGCCTGGTTGAGAGCCATGTTTGAAGCTGTTATGCTCACATCTTTGAGGGAACATCATTTGAATCTTATATTAATGGGCCAAGTTGCTACATTCACTGGTATTAATAAACAGCCTACATTAAGGCTAAAAAACAGTTTCAAAGGCATCTGAACCGAATCTGTAGGCAGCATTTCAAGGTATCACAGGCCTGCTCATGAAGGCTGTCCCAAAAGTTAAGAAATGCAACTCCCTCAGATACCATGTTTTCCCAAATAATTGGAGATGGCATTCCTGACTACTTTTTTCTTAAAATCTGTGTTAAATATATTTATTCTTATCAGAATATTGAATAATTTCTTTTGTGTTGCATGTATTGTAACTCATTTGAGCCAGCACTATTTGTCTAACTAATTTCCTGCCTATGACTGCACATTTCATGTTATAGGCAGCGAGGCAGATCACTAGGTTTAATAGTATAAAATTATAATTGTTTAATAGTATAAAACTATACTATAACTAGAGACAAACTATAATGCTTAGCTAAATATTTTTTTTTATTATTATTGTACTCATTTATTAATCCATTAGCTGTAATACTTTGAGTGGGACAACAACAGTACTCGGGTTCAAAGACACAGGCAGTCAATGTCCTTGTGCAGAAGAAAGCTCTTCTGCACTGCAATGTCAGCTATTATTATAAAAAGCCTCCTTAATCACAGAGCTGCATGCTGGAATATTCATGAAGTCCTTTCATCGCTGTTGTGCTTACGAATGTTTGTTCACAACGCTAAGTATCTGCTCCACTGGCAGGCTGAATGCAGTAATCCAGACTGCAAATGCGCAGCTCTAAAAGCGGATGGTGACAACATTTGCAGAGTTCAAGGGGAGCTGCTCTAACGTGAGGCTCGGCTTTGTATCTGGCCGCTCATCACCCATGATTAAAAGCAGTGGCACTGCTGTCCAGGAGACCTAGAGTAATATTTAAGCTGGCTGTTACCATATGCTCTTGGCCATTGAGGGAATCTCTCTCTGTTCTGATTGATTTCACTGTGTTTGATGTGGCAGAGAGCTCATTTGCTCAGCTGGAGAAGAGTATGGGACATGATGTTTTCTGTGCCGTACACAGTGTGGCCCTTTTCGGTCCCAGCTTTCAAAATGACCTCATTCTTTAGCATCACTCATTTTTGTGCATGTGTATGTGCTGCAGGGATGATTTTGCTCACCACAGAGAGGTGGTGGAGATGTAGTGGACCATCTGAATGAAGGGCAGGGGGTCTGAGGAGGCTCCACAGTTGCTGCACACACACTAAATGAGAACAAAAAACAATATCTGTTCAATAATCTTTTCTATACAAACGGACAGAGTGGTAAACATTATTTTATATTAAAAACTAGGTGTATTAGGGTTCCCACACTTTCCAACACAAGACAAATTAATTAATTGACAACTGATGGAATTAATTTTCATTATTTTCATATGACTTTCCCATGACATATATGAACTTTAACCATTTGATGACTGGAATAGGATTTTAAAAAATTATTTTACAAGGATATCACTTACAAAAAAGTGATGAAAAAAGGTTTAAAAGTGAGCAAAAATATATAAAAATACATTTGTGCATGATACATCAATGCATGTTATTATAAAAAAGAAATGATCAATGATCAATTATAAAAAAAATAAAAATATTTACTGACGTGCAATGTAGACAGGTCAAACTATAATCCAATTAAATGCTGATGTATAATACACTGTTTTACATTTTCTACCACCAAATATTGAGTGTCATTCAGAAATACGTCCTAGTTAATGCATTACCAATAGAATTCATAGTGCCTTTAAAAATATTGCTCCTTTTTAATAAAGAGACTTCACCTGCTCAAAGAGTGTCATGGCAAACTTCTGGTGAGGGATGCAGTGTTTGGCCGTGCAGATGTCCTCCTTGGTCTCATCAGAGATGTGAAAGTGGATCCTCATGAGGATATTCTCCTGTGAGAGAGACTTATTGCTTAATTATTACCAATCAGTGTGCTTAAATCAAAATCTCACTGAAGAGGAACAGCATACATCTGTCCTGCATGTCTCATGTTAATTGATTCTCGCTGTCTAGTCGGTGTGTACTGAGTCTGTGAATAACAGCATGCTCAGCTCTTTTGGCTGAGGGATATAGCTGAGAATGTTGGGTTGGGGGAAGGCTTGTGTTCTGTAGAGAGATGTTGAAAGTTCACAAAACAACTGCCCTTCACCAGTGCCTCCAGTCTTGCATAATGACAAGACAACAATAGCGGTTAAGGGGGGAAAAATGAACATTTGCAGTTTGTGGTCGCAGTTCTTACTGGTCAGCACATTGTACGATGTTGCTAAACAAGCAGTAGAAAGAGGCTGAGACAGGGAGCCATTCTTTATCTTATACGTTATGATGCTATGGCCTTTAAAATGAGCCATTAAGAGAAAATGAATCACTGCACAAAATAGGATGTGTGTCTATGAGATTACAGAAGATTACAGAGTCAAACAAGAAGGTTTACATTTTCTGTACTCTCAAGCATCCTGCCAAGAGACAAGAGATAAAAACTGACATGAAAGCAGACATGCAACCAAAAAAATACAGGGACGGACCGATACAGCAGGGGTTTTCAACCTTTTAGGACATGCACCCCCCCCCAAGTTTGTCTAATTTCACTCGCGCCCCCCCAACATCCGACAACAAAAACGCGGCAAGTGTTAAAGTAGCCCAATTCCGCGGGAAAACCGCGGACTTGGCAACACTGAGCGTGACTGATACTCGAGCCAACTCTGCTCTAACTGTCGACTAGCAGTGGGAGTCAGATTTCCCCCTAGTGGATGGCTAAAGATTTGTTAACTCATATTCATAAATTCTCAAGGGAACGTCTCTGAATTAACTGATGCTCGCGCCCCCCCTTGACAGGTGCTGGCGCCCCCCTGGGCCCCACAGGTTGAAAAGCCCTGCGATACAGGGCCGAGAGGATATCAAACACCTTCCTTCTACTTGGTGGACTCAAGAGCTGAGCTAACAATGTTCACAAGAAATGTCAGAGTGCACAATTTCCTCTTCAAGAAAATCTACCTCTTGAGCAGAGAGTCTAATTTGGCATGTGAAAGAATACTAAAGTGTATGGAAAAAGCAAGGACATGGAGGAGAACAGCAGGAAAAGCCGCAATGCGCTATAGGGAGGAAAGCTAAAGGGCGATGGTGAAGAGTCAAGAGCCCTTACGAAGCACTCAGCTGCATCGTCCATAATGCCGAGCTGGAATCGCTGCTCATCCTGGAAGGTTTTGGCTAGAGCGCAGCGGAGAGCGTCAGAGGGCAGCACCTTCTCACTGCTGAACTGGAACTGCACAAAGATGCTCTGAAAAACAACCACAGCTTTCGAATTAACGTTAAAGAAAACCAACACCAGCTCATCACACAACTTCTTTCAAAAATGGGCAATAAGTGTACCTTTATACAACAGCTTGTCACCCTGTATCCAGTTACAAACTGTTGTATAAAGAGTTCAAATATCTTTCAAATGTGATAAGAGAAAATTAATATGATGTTTAAGATTAAATTTTATTTTTAATGTAGCCAATAATCACAACTTCTTTTTTTATATTAAAAAAAGTACCATGAAAAGCAAAGACGTTTTAAAGAGTGTGTTTTACGAAGGAAAGAAAGTAATACAGATGATATGATGGTGAGTAAATGCATGAACTTTCATTTTTGGGTGAACTATCCAATTAAAAGCAGTATTTTTTCCTCTTAAGCCACATTTAAACGGCATAATTAAGTCTCCTGGTATATATGAACACATCTAAGATTTCAAATGCTGTAAAGCAAGACATGTCTGTCTGCAAGACTTCTGTGCTGAATTAAGAAACTCCTCAGTAAACAGTTATTACAGGATTAAGTTCTTTACTTTGAAGGCTGAAAACTCTTGAGAGGTTTGAACGAATAAAGGCACTGCACTTATGTCACTGCCCGTGAAACATACTGGAGTAAAGTCAGAAAGACACAGACAGCCGAATACAGAGGCAGTACCAGACCCATGAGAGCGAGCAGAGCTGACAGACATATTGTCCCAGTCCTGTGTGTGAGAGCAGACAGGCAGCCCCCTACTGCGCTGACACAGGGCTCAGGAGAGAGATCTCTAATTTCCAGCTGAGTTATTGAACTTTTGATGTAAAGCGCCAATGGCAATCCTGAACATTAGAAGGAATCTAATATAAAATGAGTGTAAGGGAGGGACTGAAAAGAAACGGAATGGAAAAAGAAATGGCACAGCAAGAGCTGAATACACGCAACACTGCTTGCCATGTAGCTATAGTTAAACACAGGATAGCTAGTTTTTGATGAATATCTTTTCCTTCAATTCCATATATTTGATGTTTTCATAGTACGTCAACATACATATAATGGTCTGCCAATGCTTCGAAGCAGACAAAATGACAAAGTAGTGATTCAACACTGTAATAATAATTAGAACAGACATGTAAACTAGTAATTATACTAACAAAATTTTAATTATAGTTTTTGTTTCTCACTTGAGAATGAATAGCTGTTACATAAAGTTGAGTAACTTGTGCAAACAAAAGATGAAACAAGTTACTATCCTTTTGGATGCTCAGCAGTGTAATGGAGCTGCTGGGTGCAGTTCTTTATAGACTTACCAAATGAAGCCATTTATTAGTAGACCCAACATAAAAAAAAACAGGTTTTGGTGACCACTGACTTAGAGATATTTTGAGAAATGTCTCAAGAGTTTTTTTTTTTTTAATGTTCCACAGAAGAAAGTAAGTCACAGAGGTTTGGAACGACATGAGGGTGAGTAAATGATGGCAGAATTTTCATCTGTGGGTGAACTATGCCTTTAAACTAAAAATGTACTTTTATCTGTAAATAAAGTGGGTCAAGCCAATTATCTCTGCTTTTACAATGAAGTTCACTATTTAATATTTGATAACATTTCAGAATCTTGAAGCATATACAGATGGCAGAAACACATTAGCCTTCATATAAAAAGGGAAAGTACTGAATTAGAAAAGCTATAATGGAGCAGAGATCCCTGTCAGCTCCATGAATTTAATGCATCATGAATAAAGTCAAACCCTGATGGGCTCAGTGCTTTACCTTCAGAGCGCAGAAGATGCACGAGTCCTCCATACACTTGTGTGTGGTGAGCTGCCGGAAACTTCGCCGGAAGATATCCAGATGCCAGAGAACCTATAAGAAAAATGTGCAATTAGTCGTAAGAAACGTTTACATCGTCCTCTGATCTTTGATGCTGCATGCGCATGATATGAGAGTGCTCTGAAAGGCTGAGAAAAGGTTGAATTCAAGCATCAGACACTCAACAAACCTTCTAAAATGCCTGAGAAGCTCTAGTCATCAAAAATGCATCAGGCTCAAAAAGCACTTGCACCGCCTGCAGTTGACTTTCCACCTCTTTCTAAGTGTCTCTCTCAGAAGGGCAAGGCATCTAAAGAAGTCGAGTCAGGTTGGAGATGAAGATTGTGCAAGTTGTATCTGACCGACTTCTTTCCTCAACAATCTCCTAAATCCAGCTTTCTTGACACACAGTAATACAATCTCAACCAAGTACATGAAAGAAGCAATTAGGTCTCAACAATCAGGTGTCAAAGATCTGATAAGCCTGTGTGCTCTATCCAAGAGTTTGAAGAAACGGGAGCAGGTTCACAAGCAGAGCAAAGTCTGATAGTAAGATGAAGTGATGAGCGTGTTTCCCAGCTTTAGTCTTTCATCTTGAGGAATGTATGCATCTCCAGGTGAAGGATGATGCGGAATGTCAGCGGAACAAACAAAGACCTGCTAGGTTCCTGCTGGGCAGCTCACATGCACGCACAGACACACAATCATGCACACCTCCCATCTGGCCGTGCCTGGGAGGCTGCGGAGGTCGAGCTGACCCCACCTGCCCGCCATGAGCGGGGACTTTGTGTGCCATGGCCCCGCTGCTCACCCGGCAGATCTACACGCTTGCATGCTGAATTATTAAGAGAGCTGTCAGTCCCACTTAACACAACTCAGTTACCCAAATGAATCTGCCGTCTAACTTTACCTTCACAGATGCCTTAATCACTCTAATAGTGACAAAGTCTGTCAATGAACTTCAAAAGTTAGCTGGCCTGTAAACCAAAACGTTTAAGGGACCTGCTAATGTTTCAGTCAGAAGTCTTAAGCAGAGCTGTCCATTTGGCTTACTTTGAACCCCTTTAAAATCTATAGTGCTGACAGAATCAATTTCAGAGAGTAATTTCACAAATCAGAGACAAAGTAGAAAACATCTGTTTGGGGCTGTGCGTGTGTCTCTGCACAATAAAACTTAATAGTACTCAACAGCACTGATCTCTCATGCCATTACGATCACCCTGTATGACCTGCTGACGCTCTTTGCATGGCAAGTGAAACTGTAAGGGAATAAAATGTATGAAATGCAATACTGTTTTTGTTAAACACAAAAGCTTGAATGTAAATATTTCCTCGGGCATGAAAATGTGCATCAGAGGACTCTACAACATGATCACAAGTATTCATCACAATCAATAAACTCAATATTTTTGTTTGCAATGCAAACCACATGGTCTTAGGAAAACCAGTTTTTACTTGAAGCCTTGCCAAGCAGTGCTCAAATATAAAGATGTGAGAGTGTTTTGGGACAGGTTGACAGAAGAGTCATTTGCCCTTTTGGGCCATTATATCTATAAAAAAAAAAAAAAAAGACTCCAATGGCGCTTTTCCACTGCGTGGCTCAGCACGGCACGGCTCGGTTTGCGTTCCCACTGCAGTTTAGTATCGCTTTAGAGGGGGCGGAATTATTCACATGTCATTATAGTTGCGCCGCCTCTACTGCCGCGACTCCTGAAAAACTTTTTCATTCCGCGTCGCCCCATCAAGCTGTTGCTGAATCCGCTCCTCGGCTATCAATGAGAGGAACGTCTGTACTTCCTCAACAGACAACGAAACAGCCACTTTTTGGTTGTTAAAAAAAGGTGCGCTCGTTCAAAACAGTTGCGTTCGATCCTTCGCTGGCTGTGCTGATTTAAATCTAGCGGTTCTGTTGTGTTTGTGTCGCAAGTTCAGTGACGCAGGTAGTGACGATTCTCTCCGGCCAATTCGTGATCAGCAGAGTTTACATTTCACGTTTTGGTAACGGTACGGTTCACTTGGAACCTCAACCGAGGTGGTACTAAAAAAAGTACCAGGTACTGTACCCAGTGGAAAACCCCTCAAAAGTGAACCGTACCGAGCCGTACCGTGCCGTACCATGCAGTGGAAAAGCGCCATAACTGCACTGTAGAAGAAAGAAATGGTGTGATTTGTGACCAAAAACCTTAAATACAATGACATACATAAAGACATTTTCAGGAGTTTCCTACAATAACTGTTGTTCTTGAAACACAGTCCTGGGGCCAGATTTACGAAAATCTTCTTAAGAAATAAGTTAAGAAATTTCTTAAGATAAATTCCACGAAGTTCGTAAGAATGTTCTTAAGTGCAATTCTTGAAAAATTCTTAAGTTCTCAAATATATTCTTAAGAGCATCTTAATTTTTTTCTTAGAAAGAAAATAACAGTCGTTATCTGAGTGAATACATGACACACTGATAAAGTCACACTTTATTGTCTTTTTTGCGCTTCCTGCAGATTACCCTAATAATCTTAATAAGCACGCACATTATTTTCGTCGCGAGTTTGACTGGTGCTCAGCTTGACGTTTTTAATGCGCCGTGTTTTTGAACAGTTACTTTTAAAATAGCCTGTCTCAAGCTGCAGCGATATGTTTCATTCATTTTTGTGCTGT